TTTCTCCCATTCTATGGGTTGTCTTTTCACTCTGTTGATAGTGTCTTCTGATATTGTATGATTATTGTGTGATCATTACATATATTATGTATTATATATAATATATTGTATGCGCATTATATGTATAATGGACATATGGACACAATTACACAATTACACACAGTTGGGATGCCTGGGTGGCTCAGCGGGTGGGTATCTGTTTTTGGCTCAGGGCATGATCCCGGATTCCTGGGATCGAGTCCTGCATTGGGCTCCCTGCATGGAGCCTGCTTCTCCCTCTGCCTGTGTCTCTGTCCTGCTCTCTCTCTCTCTCTCTCTCTCTCTCTCTCTGTGTGTGTCTCTCATGAATAAATAAATAAACATCTTTAAAAAAAATTACTAACCCAGTAACAAACATTCCTAGCACCCAAACTAATATAACTTCCCACCAAAAGAAACTAGAGTTAGAAAAAAAAAAAAGAAAGAAACTAGAGTTTTTTGGAGTCTCTGTCTGATGCAGGTCTAAGACTGAAGGTATCTGAAATGAGCCTGGAACATCTGGGCATAGGAGAGAACAAGAGCACCATCAAAGGTCACTAGAGACATTTTAAGTGGTTTGCAACCTGCAAAGGCTCCCAGTGGCCAGGTGGGCCCGTCAGTGGATTGAAACATGATGTGTTTAAATCCATAAGCTCATGATGACTTCTTTATTTTTATTTTTTCCTTCTCCAAGTTTTTATTAAATTCAAGTTAGTTAACATATGGAGTAGTATTGGTGTCAGGAGTAGAATTTAGTGGCTTGTCACTTAACATATAACATCCAGCCTTCATTACATGAAGTGCCCTCCTCAATGCCCATCACCCCTTAACCCATCCCCCACCCCACCTCCCCTCCAGCAACCCTCAGTTGGTTCTCTATGCTTAAGAGTCTCTCATGGCTTGCCTCTCTCTCTGTTTTTATCTTATTTTATTTTTCCTTCCCTTCCTCTATATTCATCTGTTCTGTATAATGACTTTTTTTTTAAAAGCTTCTATTTATTTATTCATGAGAGACATATACACAGAGGCAAAGACACAAGCAGAGAGAGAAGCAGGCTCCCTATGGGGAGCCCGATGCACGACTCGGTCCTAGGACCCCGGGATCATGACCTGAGCCGAAGACAGACGCTGAACCACTGAGCCATCCAGGTGCCCCATGACTTTTTTAAAATAAAGATTTTATTTTTTAAGTAATCTCTACACCCAACGTGGGCCTTGAACTTACAACCCTGAGGCCAAGAGTTGCACACTCCACCAACTGAGCCAGCTGCGCGGCCCCATAATGACTTTTTAAAAAAGCCTAATTCATCACCTTCAGAGGATGATGGGGAATCAATTCACTATCTTGAAAAGTGGTGTATAAAGGAAAAAAATCAAGCATGCATCTTGCCTCTCTTAGATAAACACGCCACTGGGTAGCCAAATAGGATGCAAATGGGAGGCATCTGGCAAGGGAGGAATTCTAGCTAGGGGCGCCTGGGTGGCTCAGTGGTTGAGCATCTGCCTTTGGCTCAGGGCGTCACCCCAGGGTCCAGGGATGGAGTCCCAGTTGGGATCCTTGCTTGGCACGTCTGCTTCTCCCTCTTTCTCTGCTGCTCCTTCTGCTTGTGCTCACTTTCTCTCAAATAAGTAAAATCTTAGAAAGAGAGAGAGAGAGAGAGAGAGAGAGAGAGAGAGAGACAGAGAGAATTCTAGCTTATTAGTGAGGAAGACCCGCTAGGAGGACATCACTATGTTGCAGCCCCAGTGAACCTCTAGCTCAACAGCTGCTAGCTGCACATGGGAGAGACACCGAGAGTGTGGGGGTTCTGGTGGAAGACCTCAGCAAACCTCATATTGTGCTGAAGGGGCAACCTGAGTCTGACCCCAGTTCCAGACCCAACTGCCAATTTGCTGGGAATGTGGACAGAGGGACAGAAGTGTGGGATCAGCAACCCCCAGACCGTGGGAAATGCTCCAGGACAAACAGCCTGAGTTGAGCCATTGATTTATTGTAAGGGAAGGAATGGGGGGGTGGATACTGTGAATTAAAAGAGACTTAAAAGACATATCATTTCCTTTTTGGATGGGCAAGACTAAACTACAGTGTCTGCAGACCCCTACTTGGGTGACAGGCTATTCAGAAACTTTACAAAGCCGTGATTATTGCAAAAGTCACCACAGTGGTTACTTTGTGGAATGAGGAGTCATTGGGACCAGGATGTGGGGCATGTAGGGGCTTTTGGGGTTGCTGGCGACGTGCTTCGTGTTGATCCGGGTGGAAGTTATCGTGATGCTCACCTTCAGGTCGATTTCTCAAACTCAGCGCTTTGACATTCAGGCCAGATAATTCTTGGTTGTGTGTGTGTGTGTGCCCTGTGCATCGCAGGATGTTTGGCAACATCCCTGGCCTGCCTCCACCTACTAGATGACAATAACAGCTCTCCCCCACTTCATCATGACAACCAAAGAATGTCTCCCAGATGTTGCTGGATGTCCCCTAAGAGCAAAATCAGCCCGGGTTGGGAAGGCCCTCTTTAGTACCTCCGAAAGCTACGCATTTGTTTTATTTCCTGATTCTGGCTCTGTATGTGCAGGTATTTTATTTTACGATAAAAATACTTTTAAATATCCAGTGGAGGGATCCCTGGGTGGCGCAGTGGTTTAGCGCCTGCCTTTGGCCCAGGGCGCGATCCTGGAGACCCGGGATCGAATCCATCCCACGTCGGGCTCCTGGTGCATGGAGCCTGCTTCTCCCTCTGCCTGTGTCTCTGCCTCTCTCTCTCTCTCTGCCTCTCTCTCTCTCTCTCTCTCTCTGTGACTATCATAAATAAATAAAAATTTTAAAAAATAAATCTCCAATGGAGTTTTCACGGGGAAACTCAACTGACATTATATGGTGGCGGGGGGGGGGGGGAGCAAGAAAAAAAGACAATGGAAATAGCCCAGGAATTTTGTAAAAAGGGGAGTATCAGATATTGAGCTGAATTATAAAACTATAAGAGTTAAAGTCCCTTGTTTGGGACGAACAAGACAAATGAAACTAGAATACACTAAGCTGCCTCTGGAGGGGCCTCATTTTATCAGATAAAGTCTGAGTTGCTTCAGAAGCACCTTTCTTGCCTGTCCCTCTAGCTCTCCTCCCACCAACACACTGACCTAGACAAAGCTCCCCATATATGGATGGAGCTTCCTATTTACCTTTGCATGTGCAGTTTTTCCCATTAATAAAAAATATTTATTTATTTGGGGGTGGGAAGGGCATGTGCTGGGGAGGAGCAGAGGGAGAGGGAGAAACAGACTCTCTGCTGAGCCTGATGCGGGGCTTGATCCCAGGACCCTGAGATTATGACCTGAGCCAAAGGCAGATGCCCTGGCTCCTCCCACGTGGAGCATAATTCTGTGTCACCACTGTTGGCTGCCTCCCTGGACCTTGAAAGTCAAGGATTTGCTCCTCCTTTTTCCTCCTATCCCATCCTGTGACCCCCCTTACCATAAACCCTATCTTGAAAGTCTATCCCCCTGTGCCTAAGTCTCTGCCTCTCTCTGTGTGCCTCTCATGAATAAATAAATAAAATCTTAAAAGTCTATCTCTGCTTCTCAGCTTTGTGGCCCAGGATGGTAGGAATTGTGACTCCTCAGGGACCTGCTGTGCCTGGTGTATATTAGGTGCTCAGTAAGTGCTAAATTAATTGTGAAATGGGCTAAAGAATTAAATTAATTTAAAATCATTCCCTGTGGCATCTGGGGGCTCAGCTGGTAGAGCATGTGACTTTTGATCTCAAGGTCATGAGTTCAATCCCCACATTGGGCATGGAGCCTACTTTAAAAACATTTTAAATACCCCCCAAATCATTCAACAAACATTTTTTAAAAAGATTTTATTTATTTATTCATGAGAGACACAGAAGGAGAGAGAGACAGAGACGCAGGCAGAGGGAGAAGCAGGCTCCCTGCAGGGAGCCCGATGCTGGACTCCATCGATCGGGGTCCCCAGGATCACGCACCAGGCTGAAGGGGGCGCTAAACCGCTAAGCCACCAGGGCTGCTCAACATTTTTTTTTTTTTTTTAAGATTTTTATTTATTTATTCATGAGAGACACAAATAGAGGCAGAGGGAGAAGCAGGCTCCACGCAGGGAGCCCAACGCGGGACTCGATCCCGAGCCTCCAGGGTCACGCACTGGGCCAAAGGCGGCGCTAAACCGCTGGGCCACCCGGGCTGCCCTCAACAAACATTTATTTAGCACCTATCGTGTGCCAGGGATCCCGGATGAAGCAGTGACCAAAATCAATCAGTTCCCTGTCCTAGGGTGCTGACACTTCAGGGAGACAGATGGCAAGCAAGCAATCACATAAGTGACAGAGATCCTTTCCGTTTCGGATAGTGAAAGTTGTCTTCAAGTTAATAAAACGGAGCCATGGGAAAGACAGAGACTGGAGAGGGACCACATTAGGCCTTTAGGGGTAGGAACACACAGGTCGAGCCCCCCCAGAATAGATGTCTACGTGACCATGTGCAGGGAAGAAGAGTTTAGGAGGATGGAAGAGCTTGTGCAAAGATCCTGTGGTAGGAAGGAGCCAGGGTCCCAGTACCTCCCCCACCACTAGGACCTGAGCATCGGTCCTTCTAGCTTCCACCCAAAGGAGCTTCGGAGCACACAAATCTCACCGGGTTAGTCTCCAGCTGCCTCTCCATGGCTCCCTAGCGCCCAGTGCATCAAATCCAGCTCCTTAGTCCTGCGCTGGCCGGGACTTGGCCGCCCCCCTCCGCCCCCACCCCGCTCCCTCCCTTCTCCTCCCTGCAGCCGGCGCGGGGGACAGTCACTTCAGGCCCCGCCCTCAGCCCCGCCCCCCACGCGGCCCGGCCCGACCCCGCCCACCTCGCCTCCCCATTGGGCAGCTCGCAGATCCTCGGGCGCCGGTTGGCTGGCGTGGCCATCAGTTAGGTTCGAGGCCTTGATAACCCGTCCCCGAGCTTCGAGGGGGCGGGCTCGGGTGCGGGCGCGGCGGGGGCTGCGGCTTCAGGTAAAGCGCCAGTTTTCGGGGCCACTGATGGGGGTTTTGGGGGGATTTAGGGGACGTCCCGGGAAGGGGTACTGCGCCTCCTGCCCTTCTGCGGGCTCAGCGCCCGGCGAGGGGGCGGGCTTCGGGTCCTCTCCTGGGACCCCTCCCACCCCGGGCGCCCCAGGTGGCAGGGGCATAGTAGGGGGCTCCGGATTCCCGAGGTCGCCCTCCTCCCGCCCTTAGGAGCCAAGTGGGGGGCTTGTTCGCTCCCTAGCGCCCCATCTGACTCGGGGTTTTCCCAGCGTCGCTCCTGGAAAGCCTGGGGACCCGGTTCCAGCCCCTCATTCTGGACCTGGGTGTGTGGGGGGGTGATACGGAAACGGTGCTGGGGGGAGGAACCGACGGCCCCCGGGCCGGCAGACAATGGGGAGCGGATGGAACCGCCCGGCGGCGTTTCCTGCAGGAAACTGCTCTGTCTCTACGAGGCCGTCCTGGGGGGTGTGTGTGCTTTGGGGGTAGGGGTCCCTGAGTACCTCCTCCTCCTACCGTCATCAGCCTCCACTCCCCCTTCATCAGGGGGCCGAGAATCCCGCCCCAACTTTAGGGGATGCTACCGCTCAGGGCCTCCAGCCGGCAAGAACCCCCGTTCCCAGGACCGGGAGCCGCATTGCCCGCCGAGTCCCCCACCCATCAGGTTCCCTCATCACAACTCCGAGTCCCGAAATAGCCCCTGGGGCGGGAGTGGGGGCGTATGGCGTCGGCTCTGACGGCCTAATGAGGGGGTCTCAGGCAGAGGATCGGATCTAGCCAGCATCTCCCGCAGGGAGCGGAGAGGAGGAGGGCGCACCCCCACTCCGCTGAGGCCGCAGCCCCTGGAGCCGCCGTGGTGTGGGCCGGCTTCTTCCCCCACTGGGGAAACGGGCAGGGAGAGCCAGGGATGCAGGCTGGGAGGGATGAACCCCCTCGGGCTCTCGGGCCCCTGCCCTGGAGGGGGGAGCTGTTTCTAGAAGGCCATCAAGTGGGTGGCCACTGCAGAGACACTGGCAAAAGTGCCTGGGTCTAAATCCTGCCTCTGCCTATATGTGACCTTGGACGGGTGACTTAATCACTCTGTGCCTCAGTTTCTCCATCTGTGCAGTAGGGTAAAGGGTAATGATAAGAAAAACTCCCTTAGAGTTTTTTAGCTAAGATTTTTTTTTTTTAAGTCCATACCCATAAATTGCTTATAGTAGAACCTGGCCCATGGTGAATCGCAAAAGTGTTGTTGTTGTTGTTGTTGTTGTTGTTATTGTTATTTACCAATGTTGGGGCACTCATTTCTCAGGCCAGCTTCTCTGTCCAGCTGCTCTAGCTGATTTGGGTCTTGGCTGTCCACAGCTGTTTTTCTGAGTTCCTAGAGCCTCGGATTTGGGTGTGGCCAGGTCACCAAAGGAGGGGGCTGACCCCATTGAGTCACACTGCCAGCTGTGTGAGGCAGGCCTGGACCCCTAAATTGGCCCAGGTTTTTTCCACGACACAACGCTTCCCTGACAGTTTCCTGAAAACAAGTTGTGAGAGCACTGGCTGTCCTCCCTGATGACTGGCTGCCCTGCTGGCCAGCCCCTCTCAGCCGGTGTGAAGGGACGGGAAACAGCTGCTTCAGGACTGGGCGGGGCCCTGACTGTCTTCGGGTGGGGTGAGGGAGGTTTTAGGGACACAGCCTGGACATAGGCAGGGAGAGGCAGTGGAGCAGGGGGTGTCAGGCATGGAGGTGGTCATCATGGGTGCAGGAGGCTGGAAGGGGCGATGGCAAAGGCTGCCACGCCCTTGGCACATTGAGCCACTGGTCAGAGAGAGGACAGTTGGGTCTGGCAGGCACCTGGGTGGTAGAGGCTGGGGGGCAAGGAGTCCCCAGGAGATAGGCAGAGCCCAGTGTGAGGGCATTTCCCACAGGGAGTTGTCCTAGTCACTCTGTGCCTTAGTTTCCCCATCTGGAAAATGTGAATGATAGTATCTACCTAAAAGGATTGTATGGGGGTTGCATAATCAGGCAGGGTATGCAGTAGGCACTCAAGACAAGCTGCTTTCCCTTCCTCGAAGGTTTTTCATGTGGGCTCTTCAAAGCTCCATCTTTCCTACCCTGTGCTTTCCGACTGTCCTTGTTAAATATCACATTAGATGTGGCCCAATGTCCCTCAGTTTCTTCAAGTCTCCATCATGTTACCTGAAGATTGCCCCCAGCCCTGCGTACAGCCACAGCTCTGACAACCTGGGTGCTTATGGTTCCTCTACAGGCTCTTACAAGGCAGGAGCAGAACCCTGTGGCACTCCACTCAGACATCCTAGGGAGTCAGGTATCAATTAATTTGCATCCTTGGTGCCTCTCCATCATTCCCACAAGGCTCTCCCAAGCCACTTGGTAAAATCTCAGATGCAAAAGTATATCTTGTTTGCATTTCTTTCTTTTTTTAAAATAGTTTATTTATTTATTCATGAGACACACACACACACACACACACAGAGAGAGAGAGAGAGAGAGAGACAGAGACACAGGCAGAGGGAGAAGCAGGCTCCCTGTGGGGAGCCTGATCCCAGGACCCCATGACCCCGGGATTATGACCTGAGCCAAAGGCAGACGTTCAACTACTGAGCCACCCAGGCGTCCCTTGTTTGTATTTCTCTAAGGAAAAAAAGAATTCAGGGATCCCTGGGTGGCGCAGCGGTTTGGCGCCTGCCTTTGGCCCAGGGCGCGATCCTGGAGACCCAGGATCGAATCCCACGTCGGGCTCCCGGTGCATGGAGCCTGCTTCTCCCTCTGCCTATGTCTCTGCCTCTCTCTCTCTCTCTGTGACTATCATAAAAAAAAAAAAAAAAAAAAAAAAAAAGAATTCAAATGATCCTATTTTGTTCTTTTTTTTTTTTTTTAATATGCAGAATCTGACCAGATGAATTTCTAATGAGCCCATGAAGGGCTTCCAACTCTCACCTTCTTCTGAAGGTTCACACCTCATCCCTTTGAGCACCAATTTCTAATTTTGCCCTGGGACTGAGAAAACAGCAGGTCTGGAATGAACCCTTCCCCGCCCCCTCACTCCTGTTCTCTGATCACCCTCCTCTCTTCTCTTGATGCCTTTCCTGCCTCCTCCTGCCCAGCGGGCTGAGGCCTGGACCTGGGGATGCCCATATTCGTTCATTCTAACATTCCAAGGCCCCTTGAGGGAGCAGGGAGGACAGGACAGATGTGTGTGGGAGGGTGGGTGGGGGTCTGTTTCCTTTTTTTTATTTTATTTTATTTATTTATGATAGGCACACAGTGAGAGAGAGAGAGAGTCAGAGACACAGACAGAGGGAGAAGCAGGCTCCATGCACCGGGAGCCCGATGTGGGATTCGATCCCGGGTCTCCAGGATCACGCCCTGGGCCAAAGGCAGGCGCTAAACCGCTGCGCCACCCAGGGATCCCTGTTTCCTTACTTAGAATCCAGGCTGACTCCAGAGATACAGCCAGAGGGATGGGGCCGGCCCCAACCTCACCCCCTCTGGGGACATTTTCCAGGGTGTGTCTGGCAGCTACTCCAGGAAACATGGCCAAGTTTGCCCTGAATCAGAACCTGCCCGGTGAGTGTGCAAAGTGGGATACATGTGTGTGTCTGGATTGATATTTGGTGCCCATTCATGGACACGGCCCTGTGGTTCCCTCTTTTGCATGTGGCCACAGAGTCCTTTCTAACCATCCATCGGATAATGTCATGGCCCTGCTAAACCCTGCCTGTGGTGCCCTAATGTGTGTAATATAATCCCAACTCCTCCTTGCAACCCGGGAGGCTCCCCACAATCTGCCCTCTGCCCCCCCACCTCTCCTACTCCTCTCCCTTCTTTCACTCTGTTCCTGACACTCTCACCTCCACCCTGCTGTTACTCCAGCCCACCCTGCTCACTGTGTCCCAGGGCCTTTGCTCTGGCTGTTTTCTTTTAGGAACCTTGTGTCCCCAGCTGCTTCCTCCTCGTCATTTCAGTGCTTAACTTTTAAGTCCCTTCCGCAGGAAACTTGCCTTGACAACTAGAGCCAAAGTCACGCACCTCCTCCAATTATCCTGTATTTCATCTTATTATTATTAGCCCTAAGCACCTTTTGGAATGATCATGTATATTTATCTCCGCTAAGAGGGCAGGGTTTTGTCTGTCTTGTTCACTGATGTGTCCCCAGCGCCTAGAAAAGTGCTTGGCACACAGCAGGTGCTCAGTAAGGGTGGGATTGCATGACTCTTTGGTGCAGAGAAGCATTTGGTCCTCGGGCATGCGCGTGAGCGAAGGCAGGTGTGTGGGGTTTGGTGCAGGTGGAGCCGCGCAGGGCTGTCGTGGGGGCGGTGGGGGACGCGCTCCGTTTGTCCAGTTTCTCCCGGGTCGCCCCCCTCCCGCAGCCTGACCCCCCCCCCGTCATGCCTGCAGACCTGGGCGGCCCTCGCCTGTGCCCCGGCCCCACCGCGGGCGCGCGCAGCCCGAGCTCGCCCTACTCCGTGGAGACGCCCTACGGCTTCCACCTGGACCTGGACTTCCTCAAGTACGTGGAGGAGCTGGAGCGCGGCCCCGCCCCCCGCCGCGCCCCGGGCCCCCCGCCTGCGCGCCGCCCCCGTGCACCCCGGGCGGGCCTGGCCGGTGCGCGCAGCCCGGGCGCCTGGACCTCCAGCGAATCCCTGGCCAGCGACGACGGAGGAGCGTCGGGCGCACTCTCCCCGGGCGCGCCCTCGGGGCTCCTGCTGTCGCCGCGCGTGCCCGCGCGCAACGCGCGCGTCGAGCACACGCTCCTGGAAACTAGCCGGCGGCTGGAGCTGGCGCAGGCGCACGAGCGCGCGCCCAGCCCCGGCCGCGCGGTCCCGCGCAGCCCGCGGGGGTCCGGCCGCAGCAGCCCCGCCCCCAACCCCGCCCCCGCCCCCGCCTCCCCCGGGCCCGCGCAGCTGCAGCTGGTGCGCGAGCAGATGGCCGCGGCTCTGCGGCGCCTGCGCGAGCTCGAGGAACAGGCGCGCGCGCTGCCCGAGCTGCAGGAGCAGGTGCGCACGCTGCGCGCCGAGAAGGCGCGGCTGCTGGCGGGGCGCGGGCTCCTGGAGCCCGACGCGGAGGCCGAGGCGCGTCCGGACAAGCTAGCTCAGCTGCGGCGGCTCACCGAGCGCCTCGCCACCTCCGAGCGCGGCGTCCGCGCCAGGGCCGGCCCCTGGGCCGACGGCCCCGACGGGCCGGCTTCCAGGCGCGGTGAGGGCGCGCTCGAGGTCCCCGACGCAGCCGGGATCCCCGACGCGGCGCCGCAGACGCGGGACGCTGGCACCCAGGCGGTGCCGGAGACCCAAGACGCCAGGGCGCAGGCGGAGCCGGAGACCCAGGAGGCCGGCGTGGAAGCGGCCCCCGAGACCCTCGAGTCGGACGCGTGGGTGACCGAGGCGCTGCTGGGGTTGCCCGAGGCCGCCGAGCGCGAGCTGGAGCTGCTCCGCGCCAGCCTGGAGCACCAGCGCGGGGTGAGCGAGCTCCTGCGCTGCCGGCTGCGCGAGCTGGAGGAGGCCCGAGAGGCTGCCGAGGCGGAGGCAGCGGCGGCAGCGGAGGCCCAGCCCCAGCCCCGCGAGGCTGCCACCCAGACCCTGTGGGGTTGTGCCGCGAAGGCCACACAGACCGAGACCCCCGCCGAGGCCTCCGGCCCGAGTCAGGAGAACCCGTCGGGACCCACGGATGGGGACAGAGCCGTGGCCCCCGCGGGTGAGTCCCAACCCCTGCCTGAGCCGTGGCTTGATGGCTTCTGGACTCGAGCTCAGCACCCTCCTCCGACCCCGCCAGGCATCCTCAAATCCATCATGAAGAGGAGAGATGGTACCCCCGGCGCCCAGCCCAGCCCCGGACCCAAGAGCCTGCAGTTTGTGGGAGTCCTGAACGGCGAGTGAGCACCTTCCCCCTCCCCGTGGCGGCGCCTGCAGGGACGGAGACGGGGGTTTGAATCCTGGCTCTGCCGCGGACTCGCAGAGCGGCCTTGGAAAGCCGGTTTCCTCTTCTGTAAAGTGGGGACAGCCACGCCCAGCTCTCAGGACGCGAGAACGAGCCCACAGGGAGCCTCTCACCCCGCCCCAGGTACGAGAGCTCGTCCAGCGAGGACGACAGTGACAGCGACAGCGAGGACGGCGCCGCCGAGCCTCCAAGGAGCAGCTCCTCCGGGGACGACAGCGGCAGGGATGTGGGGGACGACAGTGGCGGGGACGTCCTGGATCCCGAGCGGGAGCCAGAGCCGGAGGCAGAACCGCAGCCCGGTGCGCAGGGCAGGTGAGCGGAGTTAGGGACCCGGAGTTGGGACGAGTTGGGACGGCGGCTTTCTTTGCCGCCCTCCGCGCCTCCCCCACCCGACCCCCACCCCCACCCCCACCCCGACCCCTCCTGAGCCTCTCCCGGCCTAACCTGGTAGGTGTGAGCTGAGCCCGCGCTTGAGGGAGGCGTGCGCAGCGCTGCAGCGGCAGCTGAGCCGGCCCCGCGGAGTCGCCCGCGACGGCGTGAGTGCCAGCGAGAGCCTTTTCCGCGTGGAGCCGTGGCCCCATCGGGCACCCCCCACTCCCTCTTAGGGAAAAACACAGAGTTGGGGTGGGGGGCCCAGGTTCCACCCCGTGGCGCCGACACTTCTACTGATCCCAGGCTCTCCAAAGGGATCTCCGCCCAGGGACAGCGCTGAAGTTTTCCGTTTTCCCCAGAACGGTGCGCCCCAAGCCCCAGGCGCACCCCCGTACTCCCCAAAGGCGAGCGGTCACCGCCTTCCTCCACTCTAGGTTCCCTCACAGGCTCAGTCCCAGAGGGGCGGACTCCTATGCCTTGAGCCTGGGACCCTCACTGGCTGTTCGCCCTCCTCCGAAAGGGCGCGGCCTCGCGGGACCTTCCTCCCCTGCTGAGACCCCCCCCCCCCCAACACACACACCGCAGTCTGGACCATCTCGGACGCCTTTCTTCTGCTCCCCGCAGGGCGCCGCACGCCTGGTGGCCCAGGAGTGGTTCCGAGTGTCGAGCCAGCGGCGCTCCCAGGCCGAGGCTGTGGCTGGGGTGCTGGGCGCTGTGGGGCGCCTGGGCCCCGAGCTCCTGGCGCACGTGGTGAACCTGGCCGATGGCAACGGAAACACAGCCCTGCACTACAGCGTGTCCCACGGGAACCTGGCTATCTCGAGCTTGCTGCTGGATACCGGTCAGCACCTTCCTCCAGGGTTACAGGATCCCTGTGTCCTGGGCAGATTGCCAAGGGCCTTCAGCCCTCTCCACTTGCAGCTCTGCCTCTCACTTTGCAGGGTCGCCGGAATACCTGCCTTTAAAATTTGGTAGGCCTAAATTTAGAGGAATTACTTAGTGTCACCAGCCTTAGTTAGCTTCCTCATCTGGGAAATGGGGATGCAACACCCCCCACCTGGGGCAGCTGTGATCACAGGTGTAGAATAGCGCCAGGCACTCGGAGGAGGCCAGTCAGTGGTCACTGTGTGCGTTGTGCCCCTGGATCTCCAGTCCTGGCGCTCACCTCATTCCTGGGCCCCTGTACCCAGCCACCTGCCCCTCCAGGCTTGCAGGAGAGATACCCACTGGTCAGGGCTCTGACCACCCTCCCGGGCTGGACCACTGTGCCTTGTCTTCCATCCCCATGTCCTGCATTGACTCAATTTTACACATTTCTATGCCCTGCCCCCTGCTAGCTAATTCCTTGCCCCAACTTGCCCCCTCTGGAGCTGAGATACCCACACCCAGGTGTTCCTGAGCTCACAGACATGGGTGTTGAAAGCCTACTGGGTGCCAGTAGTGCTGGGGTGGGGGTGGGCCACCCATGTACAGCTACTTTCCCTGTGGGACTCACAGTAGAGGGGACAGTGGGCAGTACGCTGACCAAGAGCCCTCCTGACACCTTCCTGGGTGTCATTCTTCAGGGCTAGCATCTGCTGGGACCTGCCCTTGGAGGCTTCCCACTGTCCCCTCCCCGACTCCACTGCCCCCAAACACAGGTCTGTCCCATCCCTGAAGATCTTGGTGACCTGGGGAAGAGCACAGTTGCTCTGAGCTGGACCGGGCGCTAGAGCTTGGGAGGGGGCATGAGGCATGATTCAACTTGGACCTCATCTCCCCTCCAGACCTTTCCCTTTCCTCGCCCAGCCGTACCTTGGAGCCTCTCGCTGATCAGACCACAATTCCCTCTGTCTCTTCTTCAGGCTTCTTCCTTCGAGCTCCCATCACTCTTCCTATGTCTTCCGTTTATTTATTTATTAAAAATATTTTATTTATTTATTCATGAGAGACAGAGAGAGAGAGGCAGAGACACAGGCAGAGGGAGAAGCGGGCTCCATGCAGGGAGCCTGACTCGATCCTGGGTTGGGTCTCCAGGATCATGCCCTGGGCTGAAAGTGGCGCTAAACCACTGAGCCACCGGGGCTGCCCCCCACCCCCTTTTAAAAGATTTTATGGGTCTTCCGTTTTAGCTCCAGGCCAACTCTCCCCTGCAGGTGAATCCTCACCAGTTTCAGTATCTTTGTGGAGCATCGCTCTCATTTCCAGGCTGCTCTATTCCTTAACACCCTGCTCCCAACCCTGTCACCTTGACCTCTACCCTATGTCAGCCTTCCACTTGTAAGGTCACCCGGAGATCAACGCCTTCATAGAGTCTTCTGGGCTCTTACCCCCCAAAAAATTTCAGCTCTCCAGTCACCTGGCCCTAGCAGCCCGTGGACCTCATGGGACCACTGTTGTTCATGCCCCCCCCTTTGCCCCCTTGCTTCCTTGTTCTCCCTCCGCCATTAACTACTCCTTTATGTCCCCTTTCAAACTCTTCCCCATGGCCCTCACACCCCACTTGCCCTGTAGGCCCCAGAACTGCACACAATAGACCCTCAAGTGCCGGTTTCAGTAATGAGCAAGCTCTCAGGAACCTATGGCAGTGAGCTCATGGGCTGTGGGGAGGAGTGGAAATAGGCAATTATCAAGGAAAAAATGAAATAATTACAAATAGGGGTAAGGGCCACCATAAAACATAACCAGGGGAGGAAGTGGGGTGATCCTTTGGCTTAGGAAAGCCTCTGGTGGGAGGGGAGGGGAAAATAGGTGGGTGCCCTGGCTAGCCTGCAGAAACCCCACTCTGGTTATTTCTGTGTGCCCTTCACCACATTCCACCAGTCACAGAAGCTTGTGGAAGCAGTAAACACCTAGAAAGCATGCCGTACAACCAGGGGAAACCCCCCCCCCCCTTTAGATACCACTTAATCCCTCTTCTTCCTAGCCCACTGAGTCCTCCTCTCTAAAGGGCATCCACTCCATGACCCTGTTCCAAGTCCCAGGTCCCTCACTGTGCATCTCTCCCCAAGCTGTTGTAGCCTCATGGAACTTTCTGAATCATGGGAGACAACAGCCTAGTCGCTCTAGTAACTGTGCCTGGAGTAGGTGCTGTGAAGGAGGGGGCCAGAATGGTAACAGATGATCCCAGAGGAAATAGAGCCAGTGCTTAAGGGGTGGTCACAGTCACCAGTGTTCCTTTCCTTGGGCTGCTATAACAAAGTAGGACAATGTGGTGGCTTAAGAGAATGGAGATTCGTTTTCTTGTAGTTCAGGAAGCCCAAAGTCCAAAATCAAGGTTGGCAGGCCTGGTTCCCTCTCAGGAGCTCAGAGCAAGAAATCTGCTCCATGTCTTTCTCCTAGCTTCTAGTGGCTGCCTGAAAACTTTAACATCCTGTGGCTGATGGCAGCTTCTCTTCTCTGCCGTGGTCTTCACTGGTCTTCTGTGTGTCTGTCTCTTCTAGGACGCCAGTATTATTAATTAGGGTCTACAGTAACGACCTTGCCTTGATTACATTTGCAAAGATCCTATTTCCAGTTAAGGTCACATTCATAGGTACAGGGTAGGTAGGACTTTTATCTTTTGGTGGGGACACAACTCCATCTGTAACACAGCCTTGGAGAAAGGATTCCAGAAGGACAAAAGTCGGAGGACAGCCTCGAAAGCCGTGGTGGACAAGGGCCTATATTCCAAGAGCAATGGGGGATGGTGAGAGGGTTTTAAATAGGTGACTAGGCCAAAGTTCTCTTGATCTGCATGGAAATGGGTAGATTTGGACACTAGGGTAGACCAGTTGACAGAACTCTTTAGGGATGAGGACAGGGACAGAGACAGAGTGAAAATCTTGAGTTCCACTTCCAGCGCAGAGCCTAACTCAGGGCTCAATTGTACAACCCTGAGGTCATGACCTGAGCCAAAATCAAGAGTTGGATGCTTAACTGGCTGAGCCACTCAGGCGCCCTAAATGGACTTAGTTCTCAGGGGTGGGGGGCCCACAATGGTGGGTGATAGCTACAAAAATAGGAACATAAGTTTACTGAGGACCTACTATGTGCTAAGTGTTCTAGTTATTGGGGGATACAACAGAAAACCAAACCAAGTCTCTAACCCAACTGGAAATAAGCAGAAATTTGAGCAGAACCTGAGCCAGGAGCCGTGTGGCTCTTCCCAGAGAGAACCTCGGAGGCAAAGGGAGCAGGAAAATCCATGACCCAGTAACCACCCCCATTACACGGATGGCAAACCTGAGTCTGGGGAAGCATTCAACCAGGTTGGGCTGAGGGTGTCAGCTTCTTGGCTGACTGACCCCTCCACTGTCCAGGGGTCTGCGACGTTGACCACCAGAACCGGGCTGGCTACTCAGCCCTCATGCTGGCTGCGCTCACCTCTGTGGGGCGAGAAGAGGACATGGCTGTGGTTCAGAGACTCTTCCATCTGGGGAATGTTAACGCCAAGGCCACCCAGGTGCGTGGGCATTTCTTCCCTGGGTGGTGGTCTGGTCCATCCCTTCTACTTTGGGTTAGTCTCTGACCTCTCTTCCAGAACCCTCCCCAGCCGTGTCCCCTTCTTCCTCACTCCCCAGACAGGACAGACAGCCCTCATGCTGGCCATCAGCCATGGCCGCCAGGACATGGTAGCAGCCCTTCTGTCATGTGGGGCTGATGTGAATGCACAAGACGCAGATGGGGCCACAGCGCTGATGTGCGCCAGTGAGTACGGGCGCCTGGACACTGTCCGGTTGCTGCTGGCCCAGCCAGGGTGTGATCCGGCCCTCCTGGACAATGTGAGCCACCATGGGGCTGAGGTGGAGATGGCAGGGGGCCTGTGCATGGATTCAAGGACCTGACTGTCCCCATTGTTCCTCAGGAGGGCACCAGTGCCCTGGCCATTGCCTTGGAGGCTGAGCAGGATGAGGTGGCTGCTCTGCTGCATGCCCACCTGACCTCGGGCCAGCCAGATCCCCTGGTGAGTGCAGCTCCTAGCCCAGAGAAACAAAGCCTCCCAGCTGTACGTTGGGTTCAGAGATGATACCAAGTGTGCCCCAGGAAGATATCCCCTAGGGAAGCAGGCAGGATTGGGGAACCTGAGTCTGAATTCTTCCATGTGGCTGGGATTTGATGTTCAACCTGCGAAATACCTGAGACACACCTCCCCGCTTTACAGGTCATGAGCCTGAAGTCTCCAGAGGGGAAGTGACCTAAGGTCAAAACAGAGCTGTTAGACCTGGCTCAGACCTTGTCAGTGGAGCCTGCTACTGCCCCCAGGGAAGCTTCCACAAAGGAATAAGGGATCCTTTAGAATTAGACACGGAGGGGAAGTGGGGTGCAAGCTCCCTGCAAGCCAGGAGAACACTCAGTTTGCCTCTAAGGGAGAAAGGCTTACTCTCTTTTTAAAATCAAGTGCCAGGCTGTTCTTAGTACTTTGCTTATTAAACTCAATCAGCCTGCCCATCCTGCACTCTCCTGTTACAGATGTGAGCAAGGAGACATGGAGGTCAAGGGCTTCCTCCAGGTCAGATAGGGCAGAGGCAGATTAAAAACCAGGCAGTCTGGTTCCACTGTAAAAGATGGGGTTCCCCCTAAGTGGGACCATAGCGTAAAGGAACAAGACCTCCATCAGGTTAAGTATTCTTGTGTCTAAGGGGGCTGAAACCCTAGCATCGTCCCCACCTCTCTCCCCAGTCACCTCTTGAGTCCACCCCTGATGTGCCTGATGGAGAATGCAGTGACCATAGAGAAGACCCCCAGCCTCAGTGACCAGCCTGGCACCTTGGACCTGGATTGGGAGAAGAGAGTTAGTTCCTTCCACCACCCCAGCCTCTGGGACACAGCAGGGGCCAGGGTTAGTCATCCAGATAACTAGCCTTGGGCCCAGAAAAAAGCTTGGATGACAAGACCCACTTTCAGAATAAAACATTACTAACTCAACTCATGTCTTGTTTTGGGGACACATACACATAGTTCCCCCTCCCCCCAGGTCACCAGAGGATAAGAGTGGGAGTGGATCCCTCTGGAAGAATAGTGATACTATAAGCCTAGTGACAGCCAGACAAGATCCCAAGTTTACATACAACATAAATGCTTTATTAACAATCGCAGATCATCCCTGTGAGCCAAGTGGTGGACCCAGACATCCAGGACCCTGTAAACAGACCCAAACATGAGATACGGGAGGGCCACCCAGCAACTGTCCAAGTCCCTCCCCTGTCTTGCAAATCTCGGTAAACCCTTTCTACACTTCCAACCCCAATCCCAGACTCACCAGCTACAAGTTCAGCGCAACCTCCGAGCTTCTCGCTCTGACTCCAATAGCGTAAGCACGTCGCCCTCGCGCACGGGGCCTTTCACGTTGCGGATGATGGAGCGGCTGGTGTCGTCCATGAACTCCACGCGCACCTACGGCCCCCACCAAGAGGACATGAAGCAGTTAGGATCAGTCGCGAATAGGCACAAAATTTCTTTTTTTTGGGGAAGATTTTATGACCTTCATGAGAGACCCAGAGAGAGGAGCAGGCAGAGGGAGAAGCAGGCTCCTTGTTGGAGCCTCATACCGGACTCGATCCCAGGACTCCGGGATCACGACCTGAGCCTACAGCAGACAGTTGCTCAATCACTGAGCCACCCAGGCGCTCAGGCATCGGGTTTCGATCCAGGGGACGTGTTGGGGCCGGCTCGGAAATACTTAGAAAGGGGGCTGCGTATGGGAGGCAGAGCCGCGCCCGGAAGAGAAACGCTAGAGCACGTTCTCCAGCGGCAACAGCAGCCACCGGGAGGGGCAGCTGCAGCTCCGGTCCTGTTCGGGAGCGGAGCACACTCGGTCGGGCACGGAGCCACAAAGAGGTGGTTGGGATGGGCCAAGCCACGGGGAGGGGCGTCGGGGCCCGGGAAGTGAGGTCCACGGATCTCAGGCCCGGTGGGCAGGGCCCTCGTGGGGTCTCGGGGCACTCCGGGAGCCCTGGGATACAGGGGACTCCGGTTCTCACGGTCCGGCCAGCCACGGAGTCGTCAGGGCTCAGACCCCGCGAGCGTCCCCACCCGCTCGCTCACCTGCGTGCACTGTCCCTGCGAGCCGGTCCTGCCCAGCACCTTGGTGACCTGGTGGAGAGAAGCTGGGTTGAGGCCTGGGCAATCCGACCCCCCCCACCCCATCTCTCTCCATCCTCGTCCCCACTCAGGCCCCCCACCTCACCCTGGCCAACTTGATGGGCTGCACACGGCTCGTGTCCATGATGGCGTCGCGGCGGCGGTCGGGCGGAGAGGGGTCACGTGTTCCGAGAAGACCTTTTATACTACGCCCCGGCCCCGCCCTCCCTCTCCCGCTCTCGCGAGACCATGGACGTTCTTCCCAACATCCCCCGCGGTAGGACGTCATCGGCGCCCTTCAGCGCAAACGGAAGATGGCGTCCGCTACTCGCGTTATCCGTCTCCTGCGGAACTGGGCATCCGGGGTGCGCGGGGAGGAAAGGGCCGTGCCGGGGGGCTGTGGGCTCCGTGCGCCTTGGACCCGCTGCCGCTAGTCCCCTACCTCGTGCACCCTTGGGCCTGAGGCTTTGAGTGCCGAGGTCCCCCTAGGCTGGAACCCGTGTCTCAGCCGGGAACCCCCAACTCATGACTCCTTCAGCCGACGCACCCACCTCCGCCCCGGCCCTCGACCCATTCTGGCCTGAGATCTGCCTAGTTGTCAGGACCTTCTTAGCCCTGTACCTTGTGGCCCTGGCCCTAGTTTTCCTCTTCCTGTACTGGACTGCCCATCTCCGACCTTCCCTTCTGCCCCGCCCCCCCTCCGGGATGGCCCTGTTCCCTCGCCCTCTCCTCTCCTCTCCTGGGTGCCCTGAGGGTTGACCTCCTTCCTCTCCTCCCACAGCACGATTTGCAGGCGAAGTTGCAGCTGCGCTACCAGGAGATCGCCAAGCGGTGAGGAAGCCCCGCTCGCTGCCCACATTCCGGCCTTGTCCTGTTATTCTTGCATCAAGAACAAAATTCGTATTCTTTTAAGACCTTTAGTGCGCTGGGCCGGAAGCTTGCCTCCGGTCCCCGGCCGGTTGTGGAAGCCGAGGTTTGCTTTTACCTTTTCCTGTACTCAGAGCCAGCTGCTCGTGGAACAGTCAGGTTGCACATGAATTCAGAGTGGGGATCATGTAGCTGTGCAGCCCTCAGTGTGTGGCCCTGCCAGTTGGTGTTCTCATCCCCAAGCTGCAGATGAAAACACACACACACACACACACACACACTGGAGGTTCAGAGAGACAATCGTTTGCTTAAAGTCATTCAGAAGCTACAAAATAACAGCTGGGGTTTAAGCCCAGGAGTATCTGGAGTCCAAACTCACTTATGTGCAAAAATTACTCAATATTTACAAGCCCCTTCCCTCATTCCTATCACGGAGTTCAAGTTCTAGGAGGAGAAAAACATGGTAGGGAAATGAACGCAACAGGGTTAAAAGCATTCTGGAATGCTCTGAAGACAAAATGAATTAAGTAAGCTGGAGGGTTACTTGGGTCATGTGATCAGGAAAGGTCTTTTTTTTTTTTTTTTTTTCTGGCATTGACATTTGAGTCACCTGAATAATAAGCAGGAGCCAAAGGGTAATTCTTGAAAGAACATTCTGGATAGAGGGAACAGTAGGCACCAAGGCTTTTGAGGCCGACAGAACCAGAAGTAGGGAGGCCAGTGTGGCCGGAACATTGAGGAAAGAAAAGAGAGCAGTATATTGGAAGTCAGAGGTAAGGCAGCCATTGAGGATCAGCAGCAGAGGGAGACAAGTAGCGTTTGAATAACCAAATTTATGTGAATACCTACACGTTGTAACGCATTCTAAACATCAGAAATTTTAAATTGTTTTCTATGTCGGGTAGTTGATGGGCCAGTTAAGGAAATGGTTTTATAAAATTTCCACCGTCCTTAGGGTGGCGGCGCCCCCTAGTGATTCATGTGTGTCCATTGCGCACTGGTTCTTACCTTTCAGCTGGGGTGGCGGGAAGCTATGGCCACGCCCACTGGGGGAGGGTCTCAGGATATTCCCCCCCCTTTTTTTTTTAAAAAGATTTTATTTTTGAAAAAAAAAAAAAAAGATTTTATTTTTGGGTGTCTGGGTGGCTCAGTCGGTTAAGCGTCTGCCTTCCACTCAGGACATGATCCCCGGGGTCCTGGGATTGAGTCCTGCATTTGGCTCCTTGCTCAGCGGGGAGTTGGCTTCTCCCTCTACTCCTCTCCCCTGCTTGTGAGCTCTCTTTTTCTCTAATAAATAAAATTTTAAAAGTGTGCTTATCTAAACATCTTTTTTTTTTAAGATTTTATTTTTAAGTAATCTATATGCAACGTGGGGCTTGACCTCGCAACCTGGAGATAAAGAGTCACAGGCTCCACTGAGTCATCCAGGTGCCCCAGGATATTGCTTTTATCTATCTATCTATCTATCTGTCATCTACCTATCTATCTATATATCTTATTATTATTATTTTTAAAGATTTATTTATTTATTTATTTATTTATTTATGATAGAGAGAGAGAGAGGCAGGCAGAGACACAGGAGGAGGGAGAAGCAGGCTCCATGCCAGGAGCCTGATGTGGGACTCAATCCGGGGACTCCAGGATCGTACCCTGGGCCAAAGGCAGGCGCTAAACCGGTGAGCCACCCAGGGATCCCCTCTATCTTACTATTTATTTAGAGTGAGGGAGAGAGTACAGGTGTGTGTGTGTGAGGGGGGCAGGGAAGGACAGAGGGAGCAGAAAGAGCATCTCAAGCAGACCACGCCAAGTGCACAGCCTGATGTGGGGCTTGATCTCATGACCCTGAGCTCATGACCTGAGCCGAAACCAAGAGCCAGATGCTTTACTGACTGAGCCACTCAGTTGCTCCAGGATACTGCTTTTAATATTAAATTTTTAAATTATATTTTTATGTGTTTTTCTTTTTTTTTTTTTTTCATACAATGGCTATCACTTGTTTTAAGAAAAACTTAAGGGATCCCTGGGTGGCGCAGCAGTTTGGCGCCTGCCTTTGGCCCGGGGCGCGATCCTGGAGACCCGGGATCGAGTCCCACATCGGGCTCCCGGTGCATGGAGCCTGCTTCTCCCTCTGCCTGTGTCTCTGCCTCTCTCTCTCTCTCTCTCACTGTGTGCCTATCATAAATAAATAAATAAATAATTAAAAAAAAATAAATTCCCTTGGTTGGCTATTAAAAAAAAAAAAAAGAAAAAAGAAAAACTTAAGTTCTGGCAAAACAGGTACCAAACAAGTTATTTTAAAACCTGCTTCAATGAAAACCCAGTGATTTTATGATTTCTCCTATTTTTTTCTGCCTTTCCTCTCTGCTGTGTTTTCCAGAGAGGCTTCTCTTTTGTTTTGAGGTTAGCGTTTCCATTTTAAGCTTCTGGCTTCTTTGTAAATACACCCCAGATTTTAGCCCAATTTAGGACAGAGCTCTCTATTCACTCACCCACCCCCACCGCCACCCCAACTCTGCTTATAGCTTTGGTGACTGGGAGGTGGCAGGAAATGCAGAGACCTCGGAGGACTAGGTGCTCTTTGAGTAATAAGCCTTGATCCCAGCAGGGTTCTTCAGAGGGTTCCTGAGATAACTAGAAACCCAGAAGTTCTGTAGCCTGGCCTTTGGAACAAAGACCCTCAGAATAAGCTAAGTCTGGAGCTGTTGCCCAAGTGTTCATACACTGAGACTACTTGTGTATGAGGTGGGCAGAGTCTCAGGCCCTGACCTCTTCATTTCTGGAGCTCCTGCAGGTAGAAGTGAGGCCAGATGCAAGCTTTGGGCCACAGTGGGGTGGGAACAGACCTGTGTGTGGTGTGCCCAAGATTGCGAATCCGAAAAACCACCAAGGAGCCGACACCGATGCAAACACACGAGGGTTTATTTACAAGCTCGAGCTTGGGTCCAAGTGTACCCGACACAGCGGAGCAGGGACTTGGA